GCAAACAGCCAATTTTCAGAATCGAGGTGGCACCTTTTAAGGGAGATAAAACCTTGGATGAGATTTACCCATCTTAAAATGGTTTTAAGTGGGGATGTGATTCGTTTGATCAACTTGGGAGAAAACAAACGCACACTTTATTTTGAACAGCTGTTTGTTTCTCCTGTATTGATGTGTACGCATCCTAGTTATGGGGCCACTTTGGAAGATCTACTTTGTCACTGCAGCTGTAACAATGTAAGGCACCCCTTTGCTTGGAAAAAAAATAACACTAGGGTCAATAAGAATTGCATCTCGTTATTCCAGCCTATCTCTTTACCTTTAATAAATCACTTTGTTGCAGGAAAACAGTGAAATGCAGTGAATTAATTTAGATTATCCCACTTCCATTTTATTTTAGTGTTCAGTGGATATAGTCTTTCGCGGTTTTAAAAAAAAATGATTATTTACAAGCAGTGGCTCTAATACGGCAGCTTATTTCTCTCTCACTCTGAAGAACCATTTCTTCTGAGTGCGAGAAGAACCATTTCTATGGAAAAAGGATTCTTTCAACCTTGCCCAAATTAAATCCAATAAAGCAATGTAACCACTAGAGGGCAGGCGTGGCTCTTCTACATTTTCAGATCTTCCAAAGCATCATTTTTCCTAATTGAAGTTTCTTTCTTGCTTTATCGAATGTACACTAGTTTCTGGAGAGGAAATGACTGGAGCATCCGTCGTCCATATGCATCCAAGCAGCAGTCAAATTTGCTCCCTGATTTCCACTCAAAAGATTTTTGAAGCTGACTGACTTCACACATAAGACATCCATGTGGCAACTTGGTTTTGCTTTTTCAAGAGAGAGCATTAGCAAAGCCAGTCCCAGTTTGGTTCTGAGCTTCCTGTTTTCATGTACAAACCAACATCTGGATGATGAGGAACACCAAACGCCACCACAATGGAGGGCTAGAGTTGCTCCCTGTTAATGCCATTGTTCTTCCTTGCAGCTGGCAGCTTACAGTGGCTTTTTATTTTAACAGCCTGGGGCCAGCAGTCCTGTAGGAATTCATGCCAGGGAGAAACACACATGGAGATATGGCGGGAAACAGGGAACAACTTACTAGTCTTGTGAGAATAAAGTGATTAAGTCAGGAGTCTTCAAACTTGGCCCTTTGATGACTTGTGGATTTCAACTCCCAGACTTCCTCAGCCAGTGTGCCTGGCTGAGGAATTCTGGCAGTGGAGTCCACAAGTCATCAAAGGGCCAAGTTTGAAGACCCCTGCGGTAGGTCATTCTTGGATTGCAAGGTCTGGAAGAGGTGGAAATGAGTTCAGCCTTATGTGGAATTGAGAACTGCTATACTGCCAAAAAGACAGAAGAGTCAGCAATAATGGATGGATGCTGCAATGAACTTCTAAAATGTGTGACTGAATAAAGGTAGATGTAGGACAAACACTTATTGTGTACCCACCTAATTTGGGGGGGATTTTACTGACGGTCCAGACATTTGCATTTGTAAACTTAGTATTTCCCAGTTTGTTTGGCCTTAGGACAGAAAGAGAAAACTTGCACAATGCAACCAGAAGCCCCTGGCTTCCCAATGTACACGCAATTGATGATAAATCTTAGGGGATGGGAAGTGTTTGGGCTCAGGTGTGCATCCCTAGTATTCATATCAAAATTATTCACATATTTGGTGGTGATCCAGGAGAGTTTTGTTTTGTTTCGTTTTGCTTTAAGTGTTTCTGGGTCAACTTTGACAATCTGGCAAATTCTTCATTTTTCAACTTCAATGTCTCCCATGTTTCTCCCTTTCAGCAATTTTCAGAAGTATGGACTTTAATTTTCTGATTTTCCCAGTCAGCTCCATAGAGCCAGTTTGGTCTAATAGTCGAGGCATCAAATTAAAAAAAAAAAAGGCTCTTGAGTTATAGTCCTGCCTTAGGCATGAAAGCTGGCTGGGTGACTTTGGGCCAATCACCAGGAGACTATGAGTTCTAGTGCCACCTTAGGCCTGACTTTGGTGACTTTGAGCCAGTCCCTCTCTCTCAGCCTCACCCACCTCACAGGGTTGTTATGAGGAAAATAGAAGGAGGAAGAAATATTAGGACTGTTCGTCATGTACATTTATTTATAATAATGGTGTAATAATAATTATCATACTGATGAGGTGATAACCACTATATAAGTAAGGCTCAAATGCACAAGACATCACACATTTGCACAAGACAGGCCGCATCTCCACCATCCAGAGTGATGTAGTTGTGTCTGCACAGATTCACATTTGAAGGCAAAGGTTTGGTTGGAATTCCTGTGCTGCCACCTTCATCTTTTTATAGTAATTTTATATAAATTGGACATTTAATTTCCTTGCTCCCAGTTCAGGATGTTGCTACAATGTCCTGTATATTTTTTTCGTACTATCATTTTGGTGAGTTTGGGTTTGATGACTGCTAATTTCTACAGAAGCCATGCACTTCCTCCTTGAAAGTTGATGCCATCAAAACCAAGGAAAATTTTGCTCAAGTGTTTGGAATTAGCAAAGAAAAATGAATTGACAGAAACATTAATCATGCACTCGGCTCAGAAATAGAAAAACACATTAAAAATGCATCCATCCACTTCACTCAAGCGGCAGGAGAATGGCATGGAAGTCAGCTCAGCTATCTGCTTTTCATTGGGGCAAAGGAAATGAACCAAACAATGTCATTGTCACTTTTGTTTTGCCAATCTTCATCTTAACTGTAATTTGTCAACACAAACCGAGAGCTTCAGGCTGAACTGAAATTCTTTAAGTCAGAACTAGGCTCAGAAGATGAGATCTACTGTGATGGAAATTCACCATTTTAACAATTGCGCTTATCTTCAGGATTACATCCCTTTGAGAACATGGGTAGAATATAGTTACATCCACAACTGGGACCAGAATTTTCATTGTTAAGAAAAATACTTATTAAGTGCCCAATTTTACAACTTTTTTTGCCATGATTGTTAAGTGAATCACTGCAGCTGTTGAGTCACATTTTCATTAAGCCAATCTGGCTTACTCCATTGACTTTGCTGGTCAGACACCAATTGGGAAGGTCTATGACAATTAAGAGAAGAGCAACTAAGATGATCCTGGAGGCTAAAACATACAAAGAACGGCTGCAGGACTTGGGTTTGGATAGTCTAAAGAAAAGAAGAAATAGGGGAGACAAGATAGCAATGCTCCAGTATTTGAGGGGCTGCCACAAGGCAGAGGGGGTCAGGTTGTTCACCAGAGCACCAGAGGGAAGAATGAGAAACAATGGATGGAACCTGACCAAAGAGAGAAGCAACCTGGAATTAAGGAGAAACTTCCTGTCAGTGAGGACAATTAACCAGTGGAACAGCTTGCCTCCAGAAATCGTGGGCGCTCCATCCCTGGAGGTTTTTAAGAAGAGACTGGACAGTCACCTGTCTGAGATGGTACAGGTTTCCTGCTTGAGCAGGGGGCTGGACTAGAAGACCTCCAAGGTCCCTTCCAGCTCTATTCTATTCTATTCAACTTGCCACAGCCAACTCGCCGCAGGACAAGAGTTACACTAATATCAAAGAAACAGTGGAGTAGAATCAATAAAGAAAGGATGCAAAAGGAAGAACAAAACGAAATGTGAATGACAAAAATTTAAATATGTATTATTTATTTTAAACAATTTAATTGTTAAATTGTCCTGTGACAAGTTGGCCATGGTGAGTTGGCTAAGGCCAGTTGGCAAAGAATTGGCTGTGGTGGGTTGTCCCATTCTGAACTGGGAAAGTCACAAATGGTGATCATTTGATCCCAAAATCTGCAGCCCTTATAAATATATGGCAGTTACCAAGTGCCCAAATTCTGAACATATAACCGGGGTTACTATGACAGTTGAGGAGTGCACATTTTTTTTTCAATGTCATGATTTCAGATGATTGCTAAACAAAAGGTTTTAACTCAAGGATTCTCTGTATTTTAAGCAGAAAATAGTAACTGTGATCTATTCAAGCAGGCACTTTTCAATCAAGGTGGGCTGATACTTTAACAGGTGTCACAAGGTAATTATGCACAATGGACTGGGCACTTCACCTTCCCAGTTAATATTCATTTAAAATTATTCTAATTCTTGAGAGATCTTTCAAATCTTCTGTTCAAAGCCATCTCACCCTTTAGCTCCCATGTGATCTTTGAGAAGATTGCTGAAATCTCACAAGAATTTTGCAATTATTTACATTTGGATGTCATCTTGACGAATCAAGAATGCTTTGACACCTGCAGATATTAAAATCATTTGTGGTTTAGCAAAATCTGGAGACCCCAAAAACTTTCCCCCTTACTGTCTAAGCAACCTTAGAAACGAAGAATAATAGAATAGTTAAGTGCAGATATGCTAGTTATTATGACAAAGCTATTGAAAAAATATTCTTTCTCAGTTTCCTTTCATCAGCTAGCAAGCAAGTTTCATTAGTTTCCAAGTTTTGAAGAAGGTCAAGCATGTAATACTGTGGTTTGGTTCCTATCAAAGATCTGTAATTCATACTGGAAGAGGGAAATAGATGAGCCTCCTAAAAAATGCTGAACTTCCAAGTATTCCATATCAAGGTCTCCACCTTTGTCATAGACACAACTATATGGAATGCTAATCTTATTATAGCAATTGGAAGACAAGTTGGCTAACTATTCATTGATGGTCATTGAGATTCTCCTCCTCCTCCTCCTCCCTCTTATGAGATATTGGAAAAAAATGTCATTTGTCTTCTCACAACCATGGCCTACTAACACCATCTAGTTGAACTGTTCTTCCGAGAAAATACTTTCCTGGCTGGAGATACAAGTTTATCAATTAGCAACAATTATACTTTTTCCAGTTTCAATAAAGTAATTGGGACACCAAAGATGCTTCTTCTTCCGCATTCACTGTGACTAAAATCAGTCCAAACCAAACAATACCATGTTCTCTTTAGAAGAATATTTATTTTCCAATTTCTTTTACTCCTCCCCCCCCCATGGACAGTGATAGGATTACAGTATGTAACAAGGACCCCACCCCCAAAGTACACAAATGATTAAAAGTGTTTGTTTCAGCTAAAAGAAAATCCACAATGACTATTATATGTTTATGGCTCAGTGGTTATCTAAACAAATACTAGGAAGAGAGAAAAACTAGGATGAGTTTCATTCCCACAAAGAAAAACTCAATCAACCAGGACATTTGAAGTCTTCCAAAATTCTTCTCTCTCTTTTGAAGAATGAACTGTGTTCTTCAGAGATGTTGCTCAACTTCCATTCTCTACTTCAAAACCAAGAGAGAGTCATTATTCATTCATTTTGAATTCTGGAACACATCTGCAAGGATTTATATCTCAAGGAACAGTCTCCTTGGGTGATCCAACCTATGACAACTTCACTACTGAAAGAATTCATCTCATTTCTGCTTTCAGTCCTATGGCAATTAGTTAAAATGTTCCTTCTCCCAAAAACTGCACCCAACCTTTACATCTTCTAATCTAACCAATGGAATTTAGATCAATGTTTCTCAGCCTTGCCAACAATCTCAATTCCCAGAATTCCCTTACCAGAAATTCTTCTGTAGCTCTTCTCCCTCAGATTAAGAGGTTGCATCAGAACTGAAAGTTCCTCTGCATCCAGAAAGTTGAAAGTTGAAAACTACAAGAAAGGGTCAATGAATATCATCTACCGAAAGTCCTTAATCTATATGGCATAGCGGGCTGTTGCTTTGATGCCCCTTGATGCCTTCAAACTATTCTGCTTTGCTACTGGATAGGTGTACCTGAGCTAAGCAGTTGACAGAGGAAATGAGTGGATTTGCTTTTTAGAAACATCTCAAGATCTTATTTCACATTTGGAACAATACTGACATACGTTCCCAAATTGAACTGTAAATTCAGTCTTGTTTCTAAAGAAAAAGAATGGTTTGTAGGGTTTTTTACAGTGGAAACTGATTCTTTCTTGGTGCTTTAAGTATCAAAACGGTATTTTTGTGTGTGTGTGTGTGTATATATATATAATCCCACAGAATGCTTTAAAGTCATCTTGGGTATTCAAGCCAATTCAAAGGGAGAGAAGATTACAGGAAATTCTCAACTTACAACCATTCAGTGACTTACAATAGCACTGAAAAAAGGAACTTAAGATCAGTCCTCAGCATTGTCGCCGCATCCCCAAAGTTTACAGTATGATCAGAATCTGGGCAGTGTCCTGGGTCTTGTGCTATCCATTTTTTATCTTCTCAGCCAGTTTCTGACAAGCAAAATCGGGGAGCAGAAAGCCCAATTCACTTAATAACTTACACCGCTCATTTAACAACTGCAGTGATTTGCTTAACAACCATGGCCAAAAAGGTTGTGAAATTGGTTGCAACAATTCTCTTGCTTAGCAATGGAATTTCTGATCTCATTTGTGGCCATAGGTTGAACATTTAACTCTAGCCTGCAAGTTGCCAGCTTGAAAGCTGTTTTTGTTGAGCAGTTTCTCCTGAGAAAGATTATTATTTACAATAAGAGCCGGTTTATTTCTTTATCAAATGTAGTTTTGTCTGGCCAATCATGTTCAGAAATTTATGCACTTTTCATGACTAGCGTTTGAAAGTGGTACCAAGCAATTCCAGGGCAACGAAAATATAAATTTAAGCAGCAATCACACTAGTGTTGTCCTGCACAATTGTTTAAAGCTTCCTCCAGCCTTCTGTGGAATTCCCAGCAGAGAATTATATCTTTAAAAAATGTGCAATAATAATATACATACTTGGGGAAGCAATGTGGAAAAAAGTATGTTGGGGAAAGTATGGTACATGGTTATGATGTTTTTAAATTATTGGTGAAAACTGGACAGAGAGCACTGTTTCTCAACCCTTGGCAATGTTAAGATATATGGACTTCAACTCCCAGAATTCCCCAACCAACTCCAGCTGGCTGGAGAATTCTGGGAGTTGAAGTCCAGACATCTTAACATTGCTAAGGTTGAGAAACACTGGTGTAGAGCGCTGACAGAAGGCCCTGTCAATCCAAAATAGATTTATACTGACTACTAATCAGTCAAGTTTGGGATGCACCAGAGCTGTTTTGAAATGAGAGAGGAAGATAATTTTTTCAACTATAAAACATGCTCAACTGAATTCAAACTTGGCCTCAACTATCTGTAAAAACGGCACAGATATCAACTCCCATGTAAAGCATCTATTCTTTTCTTATGTGTTTCTGGATGTATCTTTAAATGTTTCCCCCATCCAATTTAATAAATTTTATATACCTGTTCCTTAAAAATCTCTTTCTCTGCCTCTTCCAATAGCATTGGTTGTTTGGAATTCAGTTCCCAAGCCCTGGACCATTCAATGTGAACAATGGGCATCATTCTATGATCCACCAATCAAGAAGGGGCACCACAGCTCAACCAACTAGCAATATAGGCCTCCTTCATAACATTGGGGATGTATTGGATTCAAGAATGTCAGCAAGCTTTGTTTTCCATTGGCATCAAGATAGAAATTTGTCCCATATCTGAGGTGGAGGGGGTCATACTCTAGTCTGTCATATTTTAGTCTGTCATACTCCAGTCTGTTTCTTCATGTGAAACACAACCCCCAGGTAGGTGCTGGGCAGTGCCAGCCAGGCACAAAGCAAAATGAGGTGTGGTAAGATTGAGCTCCAGATGGGTCTAGACTCTAGCCAGTAGCTGGGAAGAAGATCATAAGTTCTCCTGGTTTGCTACTCATGTTACTCATCTCTTCCAGTTTTCACTCAAGTTCCATAGTTTCCCGTGGTCCTCCATTTTCCTGATGAAGCACACAGCCCACTTTGTTGTTGAAAAGGCGAGGTAAGCTTCCCTTGTGGAAATGTCTACCCTGGATAGAACGTTCCTTCAAGCGACGCTTGTTCCGTTTACAAATCTGCCGGATGTCCCAGATCCTTAGTGTGCCATCGTGGGAAGCTGTGTACAATAATTCATTGTGAATCTGGAACAACAGGGCCATACTTAGACTGCTTAGCATTGACAGTCACAACACAACACAAGACAGCAGCAAAGAGAGAGCTTTCTTGCTCTGGCATACTTACAAAGCAGAGGGATTACGTGGAAATGTGGGCTGATGCAGTTTCAATCTATACGTATAACTCAAGAGAAATCTAAAGCCATGCAACAACTCACACAAAAGAAGGAGCAAAGGTGAGCTAGGAAAGCATAGGCAGTTGTATTTCCTTAGCATTTTTTGTTTATGAGTGTAGAAGTTGTTTAACAAAATAAAAAAAATAAAAGCAGAGGAAGAATTTAAGAATAGTACTGTGGGGTCCTTGGTGCTCTCTGAGCTTAACCGTTTTATTGCAGAAGTTTCCTAACCCAACTAGATAACATCATCTGGGCTAGAAGAAAGACAGGTCTGCTCTCTGTTTATATACAGGTAGCTTACCCCACCAGTGAGCAAATCCTTCTTCCTTCTAGCACTGATGATTATATTAATCAGATAATGAAAGATCTGCAAGAAAACAACCAAGCTCAGAAAACCTTAAGGGCTCCACAGTTCAACCCTGAGCTATAAATATTCCCTTCTATTGGCACATTTTTTATAATAAGCATTATTGATGAAAGGGCGGTCTTCTATGAGTATCTAAAATGAAATGGCCTTATGAATACTTTGGACAGAAGTTGCATCATCTCATTCCCCCGTAGTAAAATCAGAGAATCTGTAATGTTGCAGCTTACTTGGATGCAGTTAATAACCAACTTATGACCACGAAACACTCTTTGCAGAATGCCGGTCTTTGTGTTAAACGCTCGAGCACAAGCATCACCACTTCCAGTAAACACTGATGAGAAAAAAATAAGGATGAGAGGCTTATTCAGATTATTTTACATTATGCATTTCTTAGACAGGATATTTGCATCCCATTACATTACAGTCCCAAAGGATCAGAGAATAGCTGTGGTGATGCAGTGGTTAGAATGCAGTTTTGCAGGTTAACTCTGCCGACTGCCAGCAGTTCGATCCTGACCGGCTGAAGGTTCCATCCTTCCAAGGTGGGTAAAATGAAAACCCAGGTTGTTGGGGGCCATATGCTGACTCTGTAAACCACTTAGAGGGGGTTGTAAAGGATTATGAAGCAGTATATAAATCTAAGTGCTATTGCTATTGTCATCGCTATCAGCTTACTAAAATAAAATGGAAAATAAATAAGGGTAATAATGTTGTAAATATAATGTATAACTCTATCAAAGATTAAGATTAGGGGCAAATCAAAATAAGAAGCAAATGAGCTGGTCAAATAAAAAGTAGAGAACAAAATGGATGAAATATTGAGTCTTTTGCATTGTCTAAACTCAAATCTACTGTATATGGTGAATAGGGCAAAATATAACTCCCTATAAACAATATATATCAGAATATATAGAGAGAGAATATATAGAATTCTTTTACCTACAAGTTGTCCTCAACCTGTAATTTTACTCATACGAGTGACAGTTGTAAAAGCAGGTAACCATGTGACAGTGCCTGATTTTACCACCTTTTTGTAGTAGTCATTAAGCAAATGGGGAGGGGGCCAATGTCGAATGTGGGTCAAAAGTAGCTTTTTCAGGGTCCGTTGTAATTTGAATGGTTGCTAAGCAACTGCTTGTAGGTCGAGGATTACCTGTATTTGAAATGTCCTTATTTTTTTCAGATAACCATGCTTACTTATACTGATTTACCATACTGTACTATGAACTGAAACTATAATCAAGGAGGTTGTTATTAATTGTAATTACAGTAAGTCAATGTGATATGCAAAACTAATTAACCATATCAGATTATGCTGGAATTAGTATTTAAAGTGGTTTTTTTATTTTATTGCTAACATGAAAAGTCCAATAATGATGGTGTTAAATGTCTAATAAATCCATTATATAGAAACACTTTAATAAGAAGAAAACAGGAATTAGTACTTTTTGCCACAGGCAACAATAGAATATGAATACATTGATGGGTGGGGGCAGAGCAAATCTGTATTTTGACTTCAAGGCAAATGTTCTGTTGCACTTAACATTAATAACAAACCAAAGCATTCATTCAGTGAAGCTAATTTAACTGAATATCCATTTGGAATATCAAGCTATTGCAATCAATTGCAATCTATCAGGAACATTAGTAGAATAGAGTATCTTTATTGTCATTGTGGAACTCACAAAGAAATTAAGTGCTGTCCACAGTGCACACTACATACAAGTAAAAACCACAAATAAGAACATACATTAATATACACACATCCTTCACATTCTATTCATCATTGCACTGCCCCTAATATTGCACTTCAATGTTGCACTATATTGTGGTATTTAATATGGTTACAGTGCTGGGATAAAAACTATTTTTAGCCTATTTATCTTTGTTTTTATTATCCTGTACCGTCTGCCAGATGGTAATTGTTATGTCCCGAGCCTTGCAAACGGCTCGGGGTGTTTGCAGGCGGTCCCGGGCAGGTGCAAAGCTGCCCGGGACCAGACAGGCTGTCGCCAGCGCCGTGCGCATGCGCGGGTGCTGGCGCGGGAAAAGTATCGCATTGACCCGGGAAATGTCTATATAAGAAGCTGGGAGGTTTTGGGAGCTGCTGAAGCCATCTACTTGTAAGCTGAACGCAGAATAAAGAAAACTGAGAACTACAACTACTTCTCGTGTCTTACATTTCCGCGAAGGACTCAACACTGGCGACGAGGGTGGGATGCCTTACATCGCCTGGAAAGGAAGAAGTGTAAGCTTACCCAAGTGAGTCCTGAGCGGCGGAACGGTGTCGACTCGGCAGCCAATCCAGTGCGCATTTGGGGGTAGGCTGGCTGATAGACCCGTCTCCTGAAGATGGCAAAGGTTGGAAGGCTTTCGGAGTTCGACGTCTCACATCCAGAGCGGTGGGAGTCCTACGTAGCCAGGGTGGAGAACTACTTCAAGGCAAACCAAGTGAGGGAAGAGAGCTTGAAGGCTGCCACCCTGCTTTGTGTTTGCGGTCATGACGCCTTCGAAATCGCAGAAAACCTTGCAGCACCTGTTCCAGTAGAGTCTGTTAGCTACGCAGATCTAAAGAAGCTACTGAAGGAGCACTTCCAGCCTAAGATGTCCATCATCGCATGGCGCCACACCTTCGAGCAGAGGGATCAACGATCCGGAGAGTCGGCCAAAGAATACATCGCCGCATTGAGGAAGGCCGCCAAGCACTGCGAGTTCAAGGACCTCGAAGAACGACTGAGGGACCGATTCGTGTGCGGGTTAAGGCATCGAGATCTACAACAGAGACTTTTTGCTAAAGAAGAATTGTCCTTCCAAGATGCCTTAAGAGAAGTCACCGCAGAAGAAGCAGCAGGCGGCGCTGTCAAGAACATGCGGCCAATCAGAAACAGTCCAGAGGTTGCATCCGTGCACCAGGAAGACGTCCAAAGGAACTCCGAGGAGGATCCGGACGAGGAAGTCGACCGTCTCCACCCCACGAAGGAAGAAAATCAGAAGGGAAGCTCTTCAGCTCTGCTCAAGTGCATCGGCTGTGGAGGTCGCCACAGGAGAACCAACTGCAAGTTCCGCTCCGCTACCTGCCGGGCATGCGGCAAACAAGGACACATTGCAGCTGTGTGCCTGGGCCGTCAGAAGGTACAACCTCAGGAAGAATTGCGCCTGAAAGGTACCGGGGTTCCCAGCCAGAATAGGGTAGGTTTTTGCGCTTCGCGAGGAAGCATCTTCAGGACAGGCACACACAAGCCCATTAAGAAAAAGCTGTCACTTAAGGTGAAGCTACAAGGGGTTCCATTAACTATGGAACTAGACACAGGGTCTGCCCTTTCAATCATCTCCTTGCATACATTTAGGAAGATTTGTTCCGGTAGTGGAACTCAGGTCAAGCTAAGGCCTTCTGACATTGTGTTAACAGATTTTCAAAATTCAAGAGTGTGTGTTAAGGGGGAGGCCACCCTTAACGTGCAATACAAGAGTTTTGAAGGTCCACTAGACTTATTAGTAGTAGGGGGTGAACGAACGAGTCTCATAGGACTCGATTGGTTTGAGGCCCTGGGGATACACGTCACAGGACTCAACAGTTTACAAACACTCGACCTACAGGAAGTCTGCAAAGAATTTGCAGATGTTTTCAGCCTCCAGCTGGGCACATTCAAAGGACCCCCTGTGTCCTTAAAGCTAGACCCCACTGTCACTCCCATTAGAATTAAAGCAAGAAGGGTTCCTTTTGCTTTAAAGAGTAAAATTGACACTGAGTTAGACATACTGATCCAACAGGGAATTCTAGAACCTGTTGATTCCAGTCCTTGGGAGACCCCCATTGTCACGCCTCTAAAGGCAAATGGGGACATTCGCATTTGTGCTGATTACAAATGCACACTCAATAAGGCATTGCAGCAACAGGCCTATCCTGTTCCTGTGGTCAGTCACATCCTGGCCTCTCTCAAGGGGGGGGCGTGTTTTTGCAAAGCTTGACCTAGCTCAAGCATATCAACAGCTGCCTGTTGATGATGATGCTGCTATAGCTCAGACTATTGTGACCCACAGAGGGGCCTTTAAAGTAAAAAGGCTACAGTTTGGAGTGAATGTCGCTCCTGGGATTTTCCAAAGCGTTATGGAAAACACACTACGAGGTATACCAGGGGTCTGCCCCTACTTTGATGATGTCTTGATTGCAGGAGACTCCACACACATTCTAGCTGAAAGGCTCAGGGCTGTTCTGTTAAGATTCAGGAAATCAGGCCTCAAGCTCAAAAAAAGACAAATGCAAGATTGGGGTGCCTTCTACTGAATTTCTGGGGTTCAAAATTGATGCTGCTGGGATTCACCCTGCTGAATCCAAACTAACTGCTATTTTAGAAGCACCTAGGCCAAAGTCCAAGGCCGAACTTCAGGCCTTCATGGGCCTCCTGAATTTCTACAATTCTTTTCTTCCACAAAAAGCTAGTGTAGCTGAGCCTCTTCACAGGCTACTAGACAAGCAAGCAGTGTGGCAGTGGTCACAAACGCATGAGGGTTGTTTTAACAAAGTCAAGGCTTTGCTCACTTCTAACAGTGTACTTGCACATTTCAACGAGTCCCTTCCTGTGTGCATCGCTTGTGATGCGTCCCCTTACGGGGTTGGAGCTGTCCTGATGGAACTCAGGTTCCTGTTGCATATTACTCCAGAACATTGTCTTCTGCTGAGCGCAACTACGCTCAGATAGACAGGGAGGCTCTGGCTGTTGTTGCTGGAATTAAAAAATTCCATGATTGTCTATATGGCAGGCATTTCACGGTCTTCACTGACCATAAGCCTCTGCTGGGACTGTTTACCACACGTAAGCAGACTCCCCAAATCATTTCCCCTAGAATGCTTAGGTGGTCTATTTTTTTGTCTGCATATGATTTTTCTTTACTCCACAAGCCTGGAAAAGAAATGGGCCATGCTGATGGACTCAGTAGATTGCCTCTGCCAGTAGTAGAAGCTGACCCTGCGCCAGCTGTCAACATTCTATCAATCCAAGCTTTGCCCGAGCTCCCTCTTAGTGCCAGGGATGTTGCCGCTGAAACAGGTACAGATCACACACTTTCACGTGTCCGTTCCTGGGTTTTGTCTGGTTGGCCTGAGCACTGCCCTAGTCCTGAGTTTCAGAGTTTCTGGTCCAAAAGGAACGAGCTGTCCCTTTCTCAGGGTTGTCTGCTTTGGGGAAAACAGAGTTGTCATTCCCACCTCAATGAGGACTAGGGTCTTAGAATCCCTCCACGAGGGTCATCCTGGCATTGTTCGTATGAAGGCTCTTGCGCGCAGCCACTTGTGGTGGCCTAGTTTAGATAAGGATATTGAGGCTAAGGTGC